AATTCAATTCTTTCGTACATCTATAGGATTTTCAATTTCTATGGTGAATTGAGTATTAAGGAAGGAAGCAGTGTTAGAATTCAATTGTATTTTAATTTTTATTTAGAAAATAAAACGCTTTAGAATTTCCATTGATATTAGATCCGGTTTCATTTATATGGAAACTTTTTCAGTAGAAACTTATTTTTAGGACGATGTTTACCTTTAATAATCTTTCCTTTTCAAGAATATGCTGCGTAAGATGAAATATATAATACATAAATCATATATGAATGTAGAATAAAAGCATATTCAGATGCAGTTAGGTATAGAAATATAAAAGCAACGAAATGAAAATTATTTTTCTATTCAATGCTGTAGAAATGCTTTCATCTTCTCTGGCTGTATTGATATTAAATTTTTAATAACTTTTCATTCCTTCACTTTTGCGTCAATTCAGCAATGTTTTAAAAGAGTTGAAATTTGAAAATCAAATTTAATCTTTTCACAAATCAAATAAAAATGTTTGTATCCTTCAAACTCTTTGAATTTAAGAATAATCTTGTGACGGAATATTACAAATGTCTTCAAATTTTAGATATAAATTTTATAAATTGAGATGAAAATATTTTTGAATTCTTTTGAACTTCCATATTGAAAATTGAGGTTTGTTATTCTAATGAAAAGATTTAATCTGCTGCATCTAAAATCAACCAGTTTAGCTCTAAAAGAGTACATCAAAATCATAGTCTGCGCGACGCAAGCCTTTAACCCAGATGCCTGGGGAACAATAGACACAGAAATTTATGGATACTATAGACGCCTAGACAATGCTGAGCCATGACATATGTTAACTCAAAATTTTTAGTAATGTTTTAGACACTAATTGGAATTTGTTCAGAATGCAAACCACATGTTAAGCTTTTAATGGAAAATGTTAATATTTATTACTAAGAGAAGCAAATAGAACACAATAAGTTCAAATAATGATATCTTAGAATTTATTTACTTAAATGTTTGTTGTCTTGAATTTATATAATTTATGTTCATTTTCAAATTTAAACGTTTAATATCAATAAGACCTTGAATCTTCAATTTTCATGATAGAAACAAATTTAGGCTTTTTTCATAAATGATGTCCAAATGTCAGAAGCTAAGGACTTTACTCGCTGTGCGAAAATTCAAAATAAAACTATAGTTTTTGCATGATCATTTTGTAACAGAGGAATGAGAAGGGGAATAGATTATAATTCACGTTATTTTAAAGAAAGAACTCTCCTCAAAAAAACTCCCAAAATCTCAAAGCCCGACAGCCGAGATAAATATTGATGAAAATCTTTATCTCGCGTTTTTTTGCTCATATTTTGTTGACAAAACTTGAGTCGAGGGACTACGACTAACAAGAACTGCTTCGAAAGATATCAAACATAAATATGAAAATGCCACATTAAAGAAAGCATAAAAGCTTTCAATAATGGGAGGCAATTCTCTCGACAGCAAGCATTACATGGAAAAAAATGTTCAATTCTATAAATACAAAATGAACATATTCAATAGAATTGTTTAAAGCAGAATCTAACAGCGTTAAAATCGTGGGTTGCTAAAAAGTTGTATTTAATCGTAAACACAAATCCACATGTTGATTTAAAAATCATTTTCAATACCACAATTAAATGCTTAACACGATTATGTTCATTAATTACATTTTAATTGAAGCTGTGGGCTCCATAAATTTGTAATTTTTCATAGTTGCTGTACAGCATCCCTCAACATATTAAACAATTTTATTGAAATTAAAAACAGCATTCCGTGCATGTTGAAAATTCCATTCTGACCTATATTAAGCATAGCACAATGACAATAAGACTAGTGAACATAAAATGGAGACGCAATTTGCTTCAACTATTTATAACTCCCATTTGAATTTTAGAATTCCCATTTACACAGGCACATTCAAAACATCTTTTAACTTTAATTAATTTTTCCTCTTCCTCACTTCCTCAGAAACTTAACGTTCTATATATTTAAGATAAAATGAGGATGTGAATTGCCTTATTGCTGCAAATCTAATGGAAAGCAACAAATTTTCATTTTTTTTGTGATCCCTAAAGGCAGCATTTCCTTCATTCCCTCCGTCTCATACACATATTTGTTCCGCTTTTTTTTTTTATTATTTTCGTATGATCCTAAAAATTAAATCACCTATAATGTTGTGCTTCTATGCCAAAAGGCAATATAATGTATAAATATATTGCATTGTGTTTGTATAGACATAAAAAAACATCATTTTCTTGGTACAAAGGTATTTTTGTGAATATTTTCTTGCCAAATTGTAATTTGTTGTTTACTTTTCGTGGTTTAATGGTGGAAATCTTAAAATTAGTTAAAAATGTATGCGTGATTTTATTTTAGAATTTATGGAATTAAAAATTTACTTTTTCAGATTAGGATCGCAATATAAACTTAAATTTATAGGCATTAAATTCTTGTTAATGGAATCAAGAGAAAATTTTTGTACAAAAAAGAATTCCATCCCCTTGAGCTCATCCTATTGTTCTAGTAAAACCAATATTTATGAACATAAGATGACAGTTAAGTATAAATGAACATCCGATCCTTTGCTGCGTCTCTAATCCGACCCGAGTAGCAAACAATCAGATTTTGATTCATCAGAAACTGATTTGATTTTTTGAAATCTAACAACACATTGTATAGTTTGAGTCACAGTCACAAAATGAAATCTATTCAAAATATAATAAGCTAATGTAGTAGAATTTACTATCAAATGCAGTAAAGACATGCTCATGCTGCATTATAAGACATGATTTAAAGATACTAAAATTCAAAGCTTTTCGAATTCCCCAGAATTTCTTAAATAGTAACTGTTGCAAAAACTATTATTTTGTGTGACGAAATATTCCATTAACAAAACTTTTTGCTTCAAGGGATTCTTAAATTTTTAATATATTTTGTTTAAATTCCCCAGAATCTTGCAAAAAAAGCATTTTTTTCCATACTTTAGTGTCGATATGAATAAATTATGACATTTCCTTGTAATGCGCTTTTGTATGGTATTCGTTAGTCCCAAGGCTATTGAATATTGTTTTCAATTTCCTTTTTCAGAAAAAAAATCTTAAATTTTTGAAGATGAACCCGAACCGGGTTAGGTTGACTTCATAAAAAAATAATCCTTAATTCACGATCTAATTAATGCAGGATAGTAACAAAATTTATTGAAAAATGGTGTTTCTTAAAATGATTGAAAAGGTTGTAGGCTTCATTATATGAAATTTCTTGTTCGGAGAAATACTTTATACAATGAACATTATCTGGATTAACATCAACCTTTATTGCATTTTATGATAATGGATCATTAAAATCGCAATGTTGTTTAATTAGGTCAAATATGATGTGAATAATAAGGATATTTTGAACATTAACTCTGTAAGTCATGAATTCAGTTGCTATGCTCCATAACAGCTTGTAAATAATTCCAATAAAATAGTCGAAATAATGGAGAATCTAAATAAATAAAGACAGAAATGCATTAGCCTTTCTTTTTCAGATATAGCTGCAGGCCTCATCCTCGTTTAACTTTAATAGAACATGCGAGTCACATACCATAATGGAATAAAGAAAATTGACTTTCGCATGAGAGGAGCTTGTATCATGGATTCGCATCAAATGATTAAAAAAGTTTTCAATAATTTCCTTTTTTTCGTTCTTTCCACAAAATAACATGTTCCTTTGAATTGATACATCATATGCTGCACGATAGACATCTGTTTTTGTACGCATGGATAAAGGAACAGTAAAAAAGTAAAGGTCTAAACCAGTAAAATGAAATAAAAACAAAGAGAAAGAGAGAAGAGAATTGAAAACGGAAATAAAGCACACACGAAATTCTTTTAGGAATTGAGAATAAAGCGCCAGTGGATGTAGCTAACATAAGTAAAAAGTTTCGTTATATTCATATGGGGCCGTTCACTTATTACGTTACGCAAAAAAACGACTTTTTCCACCCCCCTTGTTACAATATGTTACAACTCACAACCCCCCCTGAACGTTCTTAATTTATTTTATTTTGATAATTTTTTATAGGTATTTATTAAGAACATTTAAATTTTATTCATAATTCATCAAAATATTCTGTTGTATTTTCTTAAACATCAAAATACTGTACAGCTAAATAGGTCATGTTTTGATTGATACTATTAGTTTTCTCATGAATTATTGGATTTAGATATAAAGCAAAAATTTGTTTTTTTTTGAAGAAAATTCAAAAATGTCATGAAAAATATTATGCCCGATCGAATTTTGGAAAATTCAATCAACTTTGAATGTAAATATCAATGATGGGATCATATTAATCATCATATGAATGACAGATTTAGAGAGATTTACTTTTAAACTTATGATTGATTTAATTTTGAAAATTTCCACAAATTATAATTGTATTTTAAAGTCTTGTAAACCAGTTTTCTGTTGATTTACTTTATATAACAAAAACTATGTGTTGCTTAGCTATCAAAAGTGATCTGGACATTCATAAATCATTAAAAAGGTGGAAAATTTAAAAAATGTTTTTGGTGTGAATTTATTAACAAAATTTCCCCCCCCCCCCCCCTATGTTACAATTTTTCAAACTCCCCCTATGATGTCGTTATTACGGCACAACAAATGCCTTTTATATTCAATTTGTTGTTGTTGCTTTCTCGCAACAAGTTATCATTTGACACCTTCATAACATCAATCCTTACACATCATCCATATTCAATTCCCAAGTTTCCTCTAGTTAATATTTTTTGTTTTATATTTTCATTCCACAACTACTTTAAAACCTGTTGCTTCATTTTGTTTGGCATTTATTACTAGCTTTTATCAATAGATCATTATGCTTTTACAAAGAAAAAGGGTCATGGGGGAATGTTTTTATTGGCAGAGATGTATTAAAACACATTATGGTGGCCATAAATTTTCTTTTGACACAAAGGAATTGATGATAATATATTTGTACTTACATTTTCATGCTTAAACCTTGTCAAAATTTTAATTTCTCTCAACGTTCTCTGACAGTATGTCTGGTGCTCAAATGGTGATATTTTTTTGATGGCAACTTTTGTGTTTGTGATGGTATCATAAGCAGATCTGTAAATAAATAGAACATAAAAATTGGGATAAGTATTTATGGATGAACGGATAAAGCTACATCTATTCATAAAGTTGAAGTGTAATGGTAAAGTTTTATTATCATCCATGAAATTAGGGTTTGGGAAGCAGCAATTGAATGTTTAAACTGACACGAAAACAGCAGGTGACAATCAGACAACATTGGTTAGGAAAATTGAATTTACAATGTCAAATGCTTGAAGTATCAAGACGAAAATCATTGGAAATGTAAGAACATCTGGTGCTTTTTGAGAATTTCATAAATTATGATTATCAACAGATGATAAATTTATCTAAAAGCTAGAGTGAATTTTCAATTTTTACGCATGTCAAAACCAATCTTTTCTCCTAGCTGTCTTATAAATGTTTTTCTGTGCCTGATGTGATTTAATGAAACTAGAAAATCATTGGAGAATGTAAAAAAAAACTTTAGAATTTTCAATGTTGTATTAAACAAAATTCATAATAGAGCATAGAGCTAGCTTTTCACATATAATATTAGCACAGTTGCTCTCTTGAGAGTTTCATCCTCCAACCCTGTCAAAAGATACTTTTCATAGTTGTACATTCTCGTATAATATGTGCTGTACAAGTTAATGGTAAAAGGTAATAAAATATATAACATTTGGTCATGAACACAACCCAAAAGTAATATGACGAAGAGGATGTTGCGAAGAAAACCACAAAGTATAGAATTTTTTCAGGTTTGTTCACAAGTGAAGTAAATATGTTTAAATAAATAGAACTTCTTAAAATTCTAATATTTTTTTAAGAAAATTCGTTTTCGTTTGACATCATTTATAAATGATCCCTATGGGTTGAAATATGGCCTTGTAAAAATTCGTATGCCTGTCAAGGCAAGGTTTTTAGCCTGAAGGATTGTAATAAAAGTTTTCGGACTTTCAAGTTTTGAATTATTTATCAATTTGAAATTTTAATAAGACTTTTAAGAAAATTTAACAATATTTCATTAAATTGAAGATATAAAGTTTATAATTTTGTACACGAAGCAAAGTCGAAGAATCCAGAGTATGCGGTTTAGTCTAAATCTAATAAAATGAATATTCACATCAAAACAAAGTGTTGAAAAGTTTCAATAGCTAAATTAACAACAGCATCATAAATAATTTGTTACCTCAAACATTAACAATCTCTCGACAATTCATCTAAATTATAAATTCAATTACTCTTTACCCAGAACGTGTGATTATCAACTGAACAACACAGTCGAAACACGAATTACATGTTCATTTAATATGCAAATATTCGCGACATACAATTTGCAGAACATCACAAGAATTCATTGCTAAGTCTGTATTTATTATGCAAAAATTTGTTGTCATGAAACTTTTAATCCTCAAGTCTCAATATGGTTTTGATCAAGCATCAAAAGCTCATGTTTTTCAAACATTAAGGATATTATAAAGCTTTTAAGTCTCGCTATAAGCTTGCTTAGATTAAAAATGATAATCATATCATGAAGTATATGAAAAAAGTCAGATGAAGTATAATATCCAACAAGTACGCACAAAAGACGAGTAGAATAAACGGATGAAATAATAAAAGTTGAGAGCTTTTAATATATAGTGCACGATATCAAGTTTTATTCTCGTACTCATACAATCTATTGTATCCTTTATATTCCGCAATGTAATTCAGAAGAAAGAAATAATAAATATTGTCATAGACTTTAATGAAACATTTCTGTTGATTATATTCGCAATACACAAAATAAAAAATCTTTATAACACAATTTTCTGTTAAATAATTCATTCGTTCATTCCTTCATACCTAGATTCATAATAGATTTTTATAAAATGTTGAAAGCAATATTTGTAATAACAACAAACCAGACCTTTCATTTTTTTATCTTGAAGGCAAAGCACGGATGAAATGCCATAGAAAGGAAGGAGATTCATTTGGGCTTTTAGTGCGCATTTTTCACTGCTTTGAGATGTTTTTGAATTCAACTTGAGTTGCTAGGATTGAAATCTCTAAGAACTTGAAGTAGATATTCAGCCTAACGCAACAAATATGTAATAAACTTAAGGAGCAGCTAACGAGAGTTCAGCTACCTTTTTATTCTAGCCCTCACGACACGCAAGTTTTTCTACTATATTTGTGAAGCTACGTAGCAGTTAAGAGATTTTTCCATTTAAGTCAGTACATTGCTATATTAAAATCTTAGGTTACATAAGTCAAGTAGTTGAAGATCCTCATTGCTATTTGTAGCACAAAAGTTCAAAAGTTGCAAGCTGCAACTCAATCAAATATTCACCAAAGCACTATATCAAATTCACCCTCGTTTGCACACAACACCGTTAGAAGAACGAGATGCTTACATTGAAAAGAAATATGCTGAAAATTTCAGTACACTTTATTCATGCTTTAAATGCAGTGAATCTTCATTCTGTCAAGCATATATATCGTGGCATCGTTTTATGAAACTTGTGGTGAACTTTTTGCAGAAGCATAAAAATCAATAAACCCTGTGAAATTTTTATTCTTTGAATAACACTGTCCCTTTACATCAGTTGTTCTCAAACTATGATCTGCGATACATTTTTTACCGTCGCGTTTTCATAGACTATAAGGTGTCAAAAACTTGGTTTTTAAATATGTCAGGATTACAAAAAAAAAATTACGAACCACTGCTTTACATCCTTCTGATAAACAAATGTTCACCTTTTGGCAAAAAAGCAGATAAAAACAACAGAATAAGAGAGGAAAAAAATTATCACTTCTGTGACATGTCATTTGTTATGAAAGAAAAGAATTTGAAAAATTGAAATATAGAATGCCGAAAGCTTATTTGTTTTTCATGGATATATAGCTGGTTTAAAATGGCATTATCACTTGACAATTGCTTCTCGTGGATGTTAAAAGGTAAATCTCGCTATGTGATTTATATCCAATTTCTCCTTTTTGTATCTTTGTGAATAAAATGTTATATTTTTAGCTTTTCGAATTCAAAAACATCCGAGAATATCCCATTTAATTATCTATTTTTATTAACTTTAGTGCCATTTTTTTATTGTCATAATAAAAAAAAAAAGTTTTTCTCACTATGAAGCATTTTTCTCAATTAAAAATAATCGCAAGATGAATGCTTCCCTAGTGTTCAAACAGATAAAGTCAGATAGCTTGAAGAGGTTTACTTTGATACAATTATTTATGTGATTGTAAAGTGTTGCTATGGTGCAACAAGCTATGATGACAATCTATTGCACGATTGCTCCAATCCGGATTATTTTATATTCGTTCTGTACAACTTTGCCTTTAAATAGAAATTTAGTATTTATGAAACATGATATGGAAGGATATTATAACAAGATTGTAAGGATACAATACTTTTTAGCATGATATATTTGATATCCTTTGATAATTGGTTTTATTTTGAATTATTAGATACTGCATCTATGTCTATTGATATTGAATTTGAGACTCTAATTATTTTTATTACAATAATGTAATTAATAATGTTACATTTACCAAATGATTGCGTTTTCAATCATAACAACATAAGGAACGAAAAGTGTATGAATTAGTTTTAACCTTATGTAGAGATAAAGCTTTAATGAATTTATTGTCTACAATAAAACCTTTAAAAACTCAAGAACAAGCTCTTTCAATAAATACGTAACTTTAAAAAGATGGGAGGATACGGCGTGATTCTTTAGATACGACATTGCTCAAAGACTATCTTGAAAGATTTATAAGAAGCAATAAATTGTGAGAAATCGAAGAAATCTTCAAAATTCAATATGAAAGATTTATTCAGGCATCAAAATTAATAAACGTTTCAATATGTTATATTTCAATCAAATCTAATCTGTTGTCATAAAATTTACTGCTGAGTAACGCTTCTTCGAATATTATGTTTTTATGTGATATCATAATTATAGTCAAATATCCATTTACGACAAGAGCTTATAATTGAATATGAAAAATATCCAATCATGTACAATGATGAAAAAATAATATACGTCGAGTAGGAATAACATTAATGTTATTACTTCATAAATGGAAAGTTAATTAATTAGATAATGTATTTTCAGTCTTTCAACTATTAAACCTTAATATTAATGCTTTTTACATGCAAATGAGAAAATTATTAATTCACTTCATAGTTCACAGCAGGATCAAAAATTTAAGTTTCTGACAAAACGATGGAAAATGGGGTTCGAAATGTTAATGACTGCATGATGTCTATAAAGAATGCTTGATCATTTAGAATGGAATTGAGAATATTTTTTACTAAAGTTACCGAATTACTTTTTATTTGTGAAATAACTATGTCTAAATAATCATAGTCCACCCGTAATAAAATTTTCAATTATGTCTCTTCCAGCAAGAAAGGCATTTTAAGGACGATTTTAGAATCATTTGACAGAAAATTCTATTTAATTGTTAAGGACAGTTTACTTTTTACCCACCCCTGTACAATACATTAAAATAAATCTTTTCCATTAAAAACCAAAACATGTTTTCATCATTTTCATAAGTATAGCAAATAAATTTCAGAAAATTAAAAGCCATCACTTCTAATTAGCAGCAAGAAGAATTCAAAAGCTTTCCAAATTGTATCAATTTTATGAGAATATAAACTGTCATGTATAGCATCTGAAAGAATATCTTACATATTTTATGGTTACATAAAGTTTCATAGTGATAAGGACGAAACATTCTTTGACATGTATACACATACAAATATGGCAGCCACTAAAAGCAAATATTTCTGCTTACACGAGAATATGTAAAATGAGCAGAAATTTAAGGATTAAATTTTCACGGTGAAAATTTGATCCATAAGCATTGAAGCTGTGGTTTCATACGACTTTCTTTTTGAAAATCTGACGTGAATGATTAAATAATTAGAAAAAGAAACAATATTTAAAGCCCTTTCCTCCATCAAACCGCATCAAGACGCTTACATATTAGTACTTTAATATTCATCAACGCACGCATACAGGGGCGTA